AAAGAGAGTTAAGAGGACCAGAGGCGCGATCGGATGCAGTGGCTGCCAAGAGTAAACAGCTCGTACGTGCGTGTCACACACACGCCTATTACGTGCAGGATGAACTACCTTTCCACAGAAAGGTGGAAGATGTTGGCGGGGAGGGAGCGATGTTCGACGCAGATTTACGGAAGGAGGAGGAGGCTGTACTCGTTGCAGCCTCTCGGTTCCATGGGGACCCAGCACTCTCCTCTCCAGGCAGCGTAGTCCGTCGCGAGGCAGATGCTGAAATCACCAAGGATAACCAGCTTGTCTGCCATCGGCGGAGGGACGTGAAGGTCCTCGCACAGTATGTTCTGCGACTCGTCGGAGCTTGTCATTCTGGGGGCGTAGGCGTTGATGATGATGATGATGATGATGATGATGATGATGATGATGATGATGATGATGATGATGATGATGATGATGATGATGATGATGATGATGATGATGATGATGATGATGATGATGATGATGATGATGATGATGATGATGATGATGATGATGATGATGATGGCGAATTAGGTTCCCCGAAGAGGCAAGTGCAGGGTCATGAGGCGGTCGTGGATGCACTGCGGCAGACAGGGCAGTCGTCCCTCGATGTCGTTCCGAATGGCAAAGGCGACGCCCGCGTCCCACCTCTCTACCTTCGGACGGCTACTCAAGAAGAACGTGTAATCTGCATCCACCTCCTCCAGCTGACCCTGTTCAGAGAATCGGGTGTCACTGAGAGGAGTCATGTCCGCCTTGAACGATCAGCGCCATCCTTCTTTCCGGCTGGCAGCTCCTCGAACTGTCTAAAAGAGTGACGAGAATGGTAATGTTCTCACGAACTAACGAGCTATATCTCACGAGCCCTTAGCATTAAGGGCAGCAAGTAAAACTGAGCGGTGAATAATATAGAAATTCTGAACGTTAAGTAGCCTAACAACAGAGCGCGACAGCTAAGCAGGCCAGCAAAGCGGGCTGTCCATGTGTGTTGTTTTTTGTCACATTCAAAGAAGCAATCCGGGGAAAGAAGACGGGACTAAATTGTCAGAGGTAAATTAGTCCGGGACCTCACCACAAGATAATGAAAATTCCAGGCTACCAGTTTGAGCAGAGTCGCGCTATCAGCCTATCGAGTTGGGCGGGAGGTGGGGACGGTGATTGTCGTTCGTTTGGTTGTTTCGGCGGCAAGTTTTGCATTCCCGAGCTACGTTATGCTTGCAGATGGCACGATTTCCCGGCATTTGTTTAGAGACCTTATCTAGCCTCTACCTCCCCTCCCTGCAGGAGCGTAAACAAGGTTATTCCTAAAAAGCGCTGCTCAGACATCCCAGACGGCTTTTGAGCCCCACTAAAAGTTAAGGCTTTGCTGAATGGAGGACGACGCGAATTAGCCTGGCCCACCTACGGGATTGCATGTCGTACTCTCTGTAGGACCTTTTTAAAGTGGAAGGTAGGAGGAGGAGGAGGATGGGGAGGAGGAGGAGCAGGAGCAGGGGGAGCTCGA